CGGGGCACGGGGGGGTAGCCAACAGAGAAACATTCCTACAGCCCCAAGAGAAAAGTCAGACCTACGTTGGCAAGACGTTTTTTCCTATCAGCATGAATAGCTTCCCCAAACACCCTTCCCGCACAGCAAACACAAGCAGTCAGCACAGGCACATGAGATTTCAGTCTTCTAGACTCAATCAAAAATTTACTTTGTCTGCTGTTAAGGTCCTTTATCCTTTTACCTTCCATTCATAATCCAGTTGTTTAATTGCTCGACAAACTTCAGCCATGATATCATTTGGTCGACTCTGACTCCGTATTCCCAAGTGCCACTTGGCTCTTCTTACACCTTGGTGTTTTGACTTCTGTGGATTCAGCTCATCAAGAGTATGGCGAGGACGTGGTGCTTCAGCTACTAAAAATGGCACTCTTTCAGGATGAGGGCGAGACAGATGGTGATCGTCAAGAAATGAATCTGGTGGGCTTGTAGCCAAGTAGAAGTCTTTTGCCTCATTCATTATTCTTCTATTATCTATAATGAGGTGGTAAGCAACCGCTAAAGGGTCCTGATGATTTCGGCTGTACAGACAACTTAGCACTTCCTCTTCAGTGCACTCAAACTTCTCACATACTTCTTTTAAGGCTTCATCATCAATCATGGTAGAGCTATATGATGGGTCTTCAGGAAACAAGTATTTGGGAAGGTCCTGCTTAAACCATTCATGTTCCCTAGATTTAAAAATAAACAAAGTCTGAGTATATGTATGTTAAACAAACCTTTTCAATACTATTTTTTTTTAAATAAAATTAGCTTTAGTCTGCAGAAAAACAATCCCACTTGTCAGTCCAAGTCCTCTTCTGTGCAGCACAGAAAATGAAGCAGTACATAATGGAAAATAATCCCTTCCTTTAGAAGATTTTGCTAGACATTTTGCAGGAAAAAAATCCTTTTTAAGTGTTTCAACCACCTGAGGTCCAAAAACATCTCTGTATAACTCATCAACCAGCTTTTTACATAAATGGTGAGGTTTTTTTACCGCTACTATGTCCGTTTTGAGATATTTTCAACTTAAATTCTTATACTACCCACTGGAGTTGTCCATTCCCTCAAGTACATGCATAACAATACATAAGTAACAAAACTAAAAAGTGTTGATGCAGAATAATTTTTTGGTAGATGTCTGGACATGGATTTTTGAACATTAAAGTCACATGCTCCCACCCCAAATAAGCTGCCTGTAATTTTTTAATTCAGAACATCCCCAGCTATCTCTTCCAGACTTGAAGAGTTGAGGGAAGCTATGGAAGCATCAATCTGTGCCTCTTTACTACTATATCCATGAGCTGGTGTTCATAAGAAAGAAAAGGAAAGATACAGAAGCAAATACGTTGCCTAATCACACACAAAAAAATAAGATTGTCTGGTGTGCCTACAGTAAGCTGCTTAATTAGCCAAAGGGTATGGTATGACATTAATTTTGAAATCATTCTGGCCTATAGCATAAAGACTTGCTACAGATTTAAAAGTAGTTATATGGATGTCATGGTTTAACCTCATCCCACAACTAAGAGCCACACAGCCACTTGCTCACTCCCCTCCTGGTGGGATGGGGGGAACAATCAGTAGAGTAAAAGTGAGAACAAAACTTTTAGAGTTTTCTCACAGCTGAGACACAGGCCCATAGGGAGGAAGTAAGATTCTCTTTGAATTCTCAGAGTTGGCTGACCAATCCATCCACAGCTGGTGCCTCCATGTCTGTCCAGCTTGCTATTGCCAGAGTGTTGGTGTATGACATTGATGCATTTCATACAAACGTTTGCCGCATGGACCATGGGCACCAGGTTTCATCCAGGTCTTTGGATACCTGGTTGTCGCCAGGTTGCTATATATCACCTCTACCACTGCTAATTCCCTCAGATACTGGATACCTCCCTCAATGGTGGTCCATTTGCTTAGGGAATTTGCCAGATTTTCCCTGCAGGGATACCTGACAGCAGCTGCCTCCAAAGACTGAGGATGCCTGCCCCTTTTACAATCCCTTTGTCAATGGCTTTATCCCTAGCAAGGGATCCCAGTTGCCAGGCTGCCTTACTCTCTAATTCCTGATTATTTGCTGCATTATTAATCTGCTCACCTGGTTGACAGCTGAAATCACTTCACATACCTCGCAACTAGATAGAGATCAGGTGGTTTCTGTCTCATTTATGATTTCAGTCTCTTCCTCCTCCTGTTCTTGCAAATGCTCTGCTGCAGAACAGGCTGCTGCTTCTCTCTCCTGCTCCCTCTTAGGAGAAGTTTCTTTATCCCTTACTAAATTAATCGACTTCCATTGTTTATTTTTAATTATAAGTGCAACTGATATAGTTGAAGGCTGAGTCTCCAGCTTTCCACAGTGTCCCTTTTCAGAGCCACAGACCCTCTCTTCTCTTTGAGGGGAGTGAATAGTTTTGAGCAGCGCTCAGTAGGTGCAAGCCAGGCCCAAGTACAACATGGCAAGTTGTGCCTCTTTGGAACAGCCAGGGCATTTTGTTTTTTTTTTTAATCCCCAAAAACTTTATAGCACTCCATCAGGATCCTGCACTTGTTTAGGAGAAAAGCCCCAGACCATCAGAGGTGGCAAGCTTTCTAGGTACCTGCCTATATTCTCCCACACACCTTGCCACCCACACCCACACTGCCATGGGGCCTGGGTGATATTCCTAAATAGCTTGTTAACCTTAGAAAAAGCTGAAACAGTATTTCTAAGAAATACCAGTAGAAGTATTTTGATTACCCAAGGATGTGCACGATACTGAAGAGTTGTTATAACAAGGGAGAACCACAGACGGTGCTCGTGAAGGTGCCATTCTGTATTTCCTCCACAAAAAAACTTCTTGGACAAAGAAGCGTAACTGTTAATTACCTCCAGCAAATGGTACCGAAAGCACAGTAACAGCTCCAGTACGGAGCCCAAATACCAGATTAAGCTGAAGGCCAGTGTTTTAATAATAAATGTCCCAAGAAAAACATCACTAAGCCCACAGAGCACGGCAAATTGCAAAAACCAAAACCAGTTTCTAACATGTACAGCAAAAAAAAAAACATGTCACAGATCAGATAAACTTATATCAAGAACAGATAAATCAGTATCATGACCAGCAAATGTTAACAGATATAATAATTATAAATTCTGTCTAATACGCTCTGGTCAAATCTGTTATCTCAAACCCTTCAAGCTCCACGTTGGGCACCAAAAAGGGCTGTCATGGCTCCACCCCATCCAGCAACTAAGCACCACAAAGCCACTTGCTCACTCCCTGCCAGTAGGATGGGAGGGCTGAATCACATGATTAAAAGTGAGAAAGAAACTTGCAGACCGAGACAAAAACAGTTTAACATTTTTTTAATTGTAAGAAAAAAGAAAAAAAAGCAAAACAAAGAGATGGGAAATAAAACCCAAGACAGTCAAGTGGTACGAATTAAAACAATTGCTTACCACCAAACTGATGCCCAGCCAGTTGCTGAGCAGTAGCCCACCCCTGCCAACCTACCCCCTAGTTTTATTGCTGAGCACGATGCCATATGGTACGGAATATCCCTTTGGTCAGTTGTCCCAACTGTGTCCTCTCCCAGCTTTTTGTGCACCTCTAACTTACTTACTGGCAGGGCAGCATGAGGAGTAGAAAAGGCCTCGACACTCCGTAAGCACTATTCAGTAGTAACTAAAACATCTTTGTTACCAACACTACTTTCAGAACAAATCCAAAACAGTGCCCAATACAAGCTACTATGAAGAAATTTAACTCTATCCTGGCCAAAACCAGTACCATGGACCAAGCTCTAGTCAGTTTGATCCCGAGAACATGCCTCAGCATGAACATGTTGCGCAAAATACACTTTCATCAGAAGCAACCAGTTAATCCGGAAGCTACCACTACGTAGCACAGCAGTAGCTAGATGACTGAGCCCAGGGGAAGATTTTGTTACCATTTATTGCAGTAAGCCCCTCCTCTTGCATGCACAAAAGCTCTGCCCCCCCGCCCCACCATGAAAAAGATATTCAATTAAACTCAGTTTGTCCTTTAAACTGTCAGGTGACATGTCTTATATAGCTAATAGGACGGAAGTGTTTAGGATTCCAAATCAATCCACGCTCAGTAATCAACATTTTTCAACATCTTTTTCAGACTATCTCTCTTCCAGATTTATCTAACACGACTGAGATAAGCTAAGTTCCCATATGCTCAAGTTTTATAATGCTTAGTTCTCACAGTGCTTTGATTTCTGCAAGAAAGTACTTCCCATCGTTAAAAAGCAGCAAGGGATAAGGACATGACATTTTGTTTTACTGAAAGAACATGAACATTGCCAACTTCCTAACTTCAAACACTAAAAGCAGCAGCATCTTCACTAAGGTAGTATATCAGAGCCCTCCCTTAGAGCTTCTTACAAAGGAAACAGAAACCTGCTGCGTGAAGTACAGCTCTATCAGCTACTAATTTATTTTTTTTATTTGACCCACTGCATACTTGTCAAAGCAGTTACCTTCTCCAGAATCTCCTCTTGGAATCTGGAGCTCATGATGGCTATCTGTTCCGACAAGCTTTAACTTGTCAGTAGTTGATGCAGTAATTATCACGCATACACAACCTCATGCCAGGGTTTTGAAGACCAAAAGTGCTACCTTGCATGTGGAATATTCACAGTCTTAAAAGACGATTTTTCAGTCTGAAGAAATATTAATAAAAGTGGTAGCTATCAGATTAAAAAGCCATCACTTTTCTCTCAGATTTTTACAGTACAGAATACTGGTTAACAGCAGGAACTTTTATTTGCCCAGAGAAGTCAGAGTGTCATTTTTGCAAACCATTCTGCAGGTAAACAGCTTTCCTACAGCGCTCTTAAACCTAGAGTTTTTCAGAATTTCTATATGTAATGTAAATAATTTGTTTTACTGTGACCACCAATAGACATTTCATTGGCCACTGGAAATCAGAACCATCAGAGCTAAAGCCACATCACCAGAAGTTGAATTTTTCATCTCGGTCTATAAAACACAAGACAAGTTGTATGAATTATTTCTTTGTTCTGCATATCGGCACTGAGATTACCATTCCAGCATCCTGTGATCAGACATCAGTTAGTGCTTTACCTAATGTCTCTGATTGTTGATCTCTTCATTGGATCCACTTGCAGCATGTGTTTCAGAAGACTAATTACAGACGGATTCAGGTACTGAGGGGTATAAAAGATACCATCACATATCTTCTTAAATAGGGTTGGCACGTGATCATCATCAAATGGAAGCGTTCCACATAACAAAGCATAGAGAATAACCCCACTGCTCCAAATATCTACTTCTGGACCTGCATATAATCTGGGAAAAAGTTAACTATTAGTGATTTGTGTTTAATACATTTAAATAGGTTTTTTTCCTCTCTACTTTCTTACATTGTATCACAGTAATTAAAAGTGTATGAACTTGGGACAATTAATCTGCAAGTACTATATCATTTTAGTTCTATGTCATGCCTCCCTTGAACTTCAGTGTCCTTCCCCTTCAAATACATAACAGGGCACAAGTACGTAGTTTTCATCTCTATAACAATAATTCACCAATGCAATTTAAGACAATGGCAAACTGAAAGAAATTTGCACCTACTACTAAGAAAGCCCATGTTATATATCGTTATCACTGTTTTTTGCACTGGAATCTGTGCAACATCATCTATCCCTCAAATCTGAGAGGCTGAAAAGTTTAAGTGAAGTCCATATAGCAGAACTTGTCACATTCTGTACTGCTGCCTGAATAAAACAGACATTTGGCCTCAATCAGCAAGAGGTAATATTAGGGTGGGTAGCTGAAAGCAGCAGATTTGACAAACATCAATTCAAAAAAACGGGAGAAGTCACCTTCAGACTGAGTATCTACTCTGCAGCAGCTATTTCACTGCTGCACAACTTCACAGCAGACTTTCCCTGTAATCCTGTAAGTAACTCTACTTCCAAGATCTGAGCTGTTTTAAACCAATGCAGGCACACTGTACACACCGGATTTAGGGCATTAGATATCACCTCCACCTTACAGGAACCATTCAAAGTTACTTCATAGAAGCCTTAAGTACTCAAGAAAAATTATCCAGACAATTAAAAGTTCAATCCACAGTTTGTCAGCATCGAGCCTGTCGGTTGCACTAGTTCTGTAGGCTTTAGAATCAAGCAGCAACATGACTGAAGTACATGTACACACATATCCAATAGAAAAGAAACTACCTTCCTGAAATTACTTCTGGTGCAGCATAGTTAGGGGAACCACAGCTTGTTCTTAAAAACTCTCCATCTGACATCATATTTGACAGACCTGAAAGTGTACAAGAGTAACTACTAAAAATTCAGAGAGCAAAATGATTTCACAGTGCACGTACCACCTAGAACAAACAGCTAGTAATTCAAATTAGAAAGTTAACAAGTTTATCTCAGTAAAGCAGTAACGTTGTTTGGAATTACTGAAATTTTTATATGAGCATGCCACACAATTCTCTTTTTAGTTTACCAGAAATCTGAGTAACGTCAATGAATTATTGCACACAACCTGGAATATTTGAGAACATAATTAATTCCAAGACAAAAAACAGTTCAGTTCAGATGTCACAGGCAGGATAGACAATAAAGTTTCTCTAAGGGAGATGGAGCAACATAGCAAGATAGGATTTTGGTCATTAACAAGGAAGTCTTAAAAATCACATTTGCTTCTAAATGCCAAGTGGAAGATGCTACCACAGAATTGCCTAAAATTCTGTCCGAGGTCATACAGAATAAGAGAACTGAGAAGTACACATGGCTTCATCATAATTTAGACACCTATGCTGCTCAACTGGTTCCTGAATCACCGCAGTTCGGTATTTTGATTTTAGATATTCTGTTAGTAATTAAAGTGTACTTCAGAACTCTGCCATCTTCATCCACAAGCCCTCAGTATAGTCAAGAACTAGCAGTTCGAGAATAGCTGTGGAAAATATCTTCTACTGTCCTCAGTGGAGGCTGCATGATCAAGACTACCATAAGCCAGAGAACTCAGTCTCCAAGAGGGCATTATGCCCTTTTACAGGGCAGGGGGAAGATGAAAGAGTACAGTTTGGCTAGCTGTCATATCCTAATACACAAAATCTTTTATTAAGCTCTTGTTTAATACACTAGGCACGAATAACTGAGTGCTACAGCTTTGCTGACACTTGTTACAGGAAGATATTTTTGTAAGTCACTGTACTTCATTTCTTCACCACATAAGCCATTTCAGTCAAGGCATTTTCTACACACAAGAAGTCAATACGATTCCCAGTGCCTACATACTTCTAAAACATACTTAGAATACTCAGCATTACCTAGCACCTTTCATCACAGACCTCAAAGTACTTTATAAGGGCAGGTATTATCCACTACGTCTAAAAGAGATATATCATGAAGATACAGCAGCATGGATACCTTACTATGCTTATATAGTGAAACTTCCTGATTCAGATAGTTCCAAGAACCAGCTGTCAGTCTTCTCAGCAGCTGTGTCACCATCAGCTAGTATACACAATTAAGCTTTCTGATTAGTTAGGCAGGTATATAGCACAGAAGCATGGGAGTTTGCAAGATTAATTGTTCTTATCTTACCTTCTATGCTTTAACTACATTTTCTCAATCACATCTTTAGATTTTTTGAAGTGAATTTAGAATAGTGTAACAGGAAGACTAGCATATTTTGCTATAGCAATGTGGTTCTTAAACATGATGAACTGCCCTTGCACTTTACTTCCAAGAGAGCTAAGCATCTACCATTTTACAGACAGTGAAACAGGCAGTAAGAGTGAATTTTGAAGTGGAAAGGTCAGGAACTAAGTCTATTTAGCATTTCATAGAAAATATTGTTAAGAAAACACAAATCAGTTCACCATTTCACCCAGTCACAGAAAATACCTGAAAAGAAAGTTTGGAGGGAAAAGAAGTTTTACACATGTACAAGAATATAATTTTGTCTTACATTCATACTCTTCAGGTTCTTGTATTGTGTCCCACCACTAGGATATTCAAGTATACACACTTTACTAAATATTTCTCGGGGTAATTAACAGGATCTAAATAACACTGGAAATGTGATCAGATATGAAGTAGCAATGCTTACCAAAGTCAGCTATCTTGGCATTCATGTGAGCATCAAGCAGCACATTTTCAGGCTTCAGATCTCTATGTACCACCATATGCCTGTGACAGTAATCCACACCAGAAAGGATTTGCTGGAACAGGCGTCTACTTTCCTTCTCATCAAGCTAAGACAGACAAAGGTTTTAAACACTTATGAGACAGCAGAAGATAACTTGTTTTCCATTTACATGAACTAAACAAAATCTTCCCATGACTTAAAGTTATAATTTATAGTTTTGATACTTGATACAGTAGCTTATCAGAACTTGTAGCAGAAAGCTTCACACCTTACATCATTTCGTTTGTACCACAGCTCTAAAATGATTAAAACAAAACATATCCACTGACTCAGAAAGTCACTGACATTTCTCAAACACTTTTGAAATTGTTTAAGTAGATGTTACACACTCAGTAACTAGAAACATTAGCACCCAAACATTAACTTCATCTAATCGCAAGATTAACAAACTTCAACATTTAAGCACAGCATAAGATTTAAGTTGACAAAAGATGCTGACACAGAGCACAGAAGTGATACATTTTAGACGCTATTCATGCTATTAGCGGCTAACCCCAAACAGCAGACTGATTAAGTCGTGTCTAAGTTTGTCCTAACAACTAACTAAAAGTATCCTGGCTATCTAGATGGTTTGTCAAAAGTGGCTTCGGAGCTTTCACAGAAACTGTTCTACTAGTAGAAGAGAGTAATAAGGGCACAATTGTAGCTTTCCACTAATGAGTTACACTGAAGAAATAGTTTTCGGCTACTCCAGCTGGATACATATCCATCCAGTTTGTACCCAGTGATTGTAAATTAACCTGTCAGTACCAGTAGAGGGCAAAAAAGCTGTAACAAATCATACATAAAGATCTGAAACACGTTAATATGCAACCATTTTACTTTCACAACAAGATGTGGTCATAAAGTATATTTTAATTGCTAACAGCAAAATTAATGCTGAATACAGAAAAATGAACCTTCATTTAGCAGAGTGTGATCAGTACCTCCTGCTCCTGGCCTCAGTAACATGGTTAGCGTATCTAACACCATTTTATGAGGCAAGCAGCCATTCTGTGAGTGAGCAAGTCACATATTTGTGCCCTTTCCCTCATTATCAGGCCCTAAAGGTCCCGTCAACCAAGTAGACAAAAGAAACAGATTTCTTTTTCCCCTCCCTACTGGCCTCAAGATTCCTGGGCACCAGGCTGATTATTCCCCTCCTTACTGGCCTTGAAGGTCCCAGGCATCCAGCCAGGTGGTGGTGATAACCCCTCACAGAACAGAGAAACCTAACAGCACACAAAGTCCGTAAAATCCAGCAGTTACTAGGCCTAAGTGGGGAACCTGGACCAGAACTGCTCATGGAAAGTGAGACCCATGACGCTCTTGGGCCCAGGGACACCTCCACTGTCCTCTGCTTCCTCTGAGGACTGAGTGACTGGTATTATTTCACATGATTCTCAAATCTAGACTGTGATTGTTCTATTGATAATTTAAACAATATATTAAGATTTGACTCAATTTGCAGAAGACCTAGGTGATTAGAAATCATAAGTTAAGTTGTATTATAAATTCTGTATTACGCTACTTATAAACTGTACTACGTTGATGCTGCTTGCAGAAATCCTGTGCCACTTTAATCATAAGTTCTGTGCTACACTAATCATAACACCCTGTTAAGAAAATAAAGCTTTCATTTTATCGGTCTGCCAAGGATCACCAAAAAGAATCTGTTTGTCCCCTCAGGGTTGGATGACACAGGAACGCTGCAAAAGCACTAACAGAATGCAAGACATTGATTTGTAGAGTTGGACTACATCTTACCCTTCCATTTTTACAGATATAATCAAACAGTTCTCCTCCTGAAACATATTCCATCACCATGAAAATGTCAGTTGGTGTACTGATGACCTGGTACCTGATAAGAGAAGGTATCTGTTAATCCATGCACTCAGTAAAAGATGCTAGTTACATTTAGTTAAAACCAAATTTGTACCAAGAGTCAGATAAAAGTATACTTCAAAATATTTATCAGCTAATTTACAACCACTGGAACAACAATATTTTTCAGAAGCTATTTCCTCTTCTTTCACTATGTGATGACATCATTGCCAAGACTAGCAGGAAATTTGTATTCCCCATCAGGAATATCAGTCTTTGTACTTACAGAGAACTAAGCTTAGTCCAAATGATTTCTATGAAACAGTGCCACCTTGCAGACAGCTTGGTGCAATGAGGAAGGAATTCAAAAGGACTGTCAGTGTCTCAAAAATATATACTTTTCAACTTGAATATGCAAAAAACCTCACTTGCCACAAATAAAAAATGTACTTCAAGACTAGAAAACAATTGCTCTTAATAATCATGAATATCATATTTTACAGAGAGACCTAAATTTGTCTTTAGTATTTAAGAGTATCAACATTCTGGTTATTATATTTTGATGTAATACTATACTGCAACATTTCTATAACCTCAATACCCTTCTGAGGCACTTATTAGCATGAAATCTTCAAAGTTAGTTTTACCTAAAACATTATAGTCCAAGATGCTTTACCTTTGCCCATTTTCTACTATCTTGGTTGAAAGTACCTCATGTACTTAAATATCAACAATATTCTGAAGACATGGCTAAGACACTACTACAGAAAGCATTTTAATCCTTTTAATCCAAAAGTTACAGCCGTGCTTCTCTATAGTCAGCTCATTTTTCTGGTTGTAGTTACACACCTATAATATAAATAAGGTTATCAAACCGCACAGCATAGATGACCAGAATGCAAAAAGGGGCACTTTTATGTAGGAAAACAAGATGCATGCTATTGCTAGAGGTCAAAAACCACAAGAAGAGATCCTCCAAAGGTCTTTATTTAAAGTGTGGTATAGAAAGAAAATCTCATTGCTACAAGCTTACAATTGTATAAACTGCTAAAGCCGTGTATGAAATTTTTCATAAAGCACAGCAACATTCCAAATCAGACACTAATTTGCAATATTAAACTGAAGAAATCCCAAATATCTTAAGCTGCTATCTAGCAGTTCCCCAATTTACACATAGGCTAATAATCTTTCTGCTTTAGAAATGAAGGCTGACCAACTGAAAAGTTAGGGAGCCATCAATTTTTCCATCATCTCCTACATCTTGTCCGTTCTCTCACATGCAGGAGAAAAAACTTGTCCCCATAGTTCCCTGAGAAAGAAACTGTCATCTGAAACCTGTTAAGCTGGCTTAACAGTTTAGCAGCACCAGAAGTACGCATTCCTGTTCCACCCCCATATCTCAGCTGGTACACTAACACTTCCTATTTTGTTTTGGCTGCAAGTATGCCCTTTGGATCATTCATAAACTCTAACTGGCAGCACAAGCAATTTTGCGGCCAAATCAGCTCAACAGTCTTCTCAAAATGAACCCACTGAAGAAGTTAGTGAGTTATTTTACACAATCCAATTCAGCTTCAGTGAAAGAGCTGTTGCCAAATTAGAGGGACTGTATAGGTAAGGCATCTGTCAGTGGCAACAGGGTCTCATGACAAGACTCTGTCAATTGAAAAAAACAATACTAACATCAACACCATGATTAAGACAGCAAAAGTCACCCACACTCGGGAGATGCAGGTTAACTTTAAAGGAAACATAAGTAAAAAAATCCAATAGCATTTACAATTTATTTCCTCAGGCCAGACATGAAGGGCCTACTGCAGGATATATTTAATTGTACTCTGAACTCCAGTGATGAACTGTTGATCAAATAACAGCTGTAAACAGGCACACTATAAATATCAGGCACATTTAGACAAGTGCTACCAGCTATATTGAAGCATTTTGAAATATCAATCACATTTAACAAACTGTACATTCTTAAATCAGACGAATCGTGCAGAGCACCATCGACATTGGAAAACCGCAGATTAGTTGAGCACATCACCAAAAACATATTTTGAGTAAGAAAATACAAAAAACTTACTATAGAAATGTCCTTTACAATCTTATTAATTCATTTTCTAAGCAGAAAAAAAATCAAATATAATCAGAAAAATAAAACTGAAGTAGCAGCTAAAAACAGAGATGGCTGCTACTATTTATCAAGCCATTACCTTTTATACACCTGTCCAAAGAATTTGTAGAGCAAAGATCTAATGGAAGAAGCTCTCTGGCCTGCAGAGAAGATCGGTTTTGTGAAAATGCATTACAGAGGACATTGAAAATGGTTGCATACTTGGAAGGTGGTTCCTTTCCTGACAAGATACTGCTAGTAGCATTGCCCGTTAAACATGTTTCAGATCACTGCGAGCAAAAAGAGATTACTGCTTAAATACATTTCATTATAGCAAGCAAAACTTACAGCTTAATTATATGAGGATGCCTGAAGAGTTTGAGGTTCTGAATCTCCCTGCGGATTTTTCCTACAACATCAAGGCTGCGAATCTTCTGTCGATTCAGGATCTTCACTGCAACTTTATGCCCAGTTAACTCATGTTTCCCAACTGCAAGGAACAAGGAAGTATTTAGTCAGGGTTTTCAATTGCTCCATAAAGATGTTACTTTGCCCATTTTGACTGTAGCCAAGAAATACAAGTTAAGATGTTAGCATTCCACATATGCTCCCAGAAGTCAATCATTAGAAGATGAATGGGATATGTAAGAAAAATCTTAAACCTAACCCTCAGAAGTCTTGGAGCATGATGATATTTTTCCACTATTACAAACAAAGCATATGCCAAAAACATTGCCATCCTTGCTAATCAGGGAGATCATTTTCTCTCCCTGTGTAAGACACTCCAAGCTTTTGGCTCACTTGGTAACCCACTCAGATAGGTTCTCCTGTAGCTCTTCTATTTTACCTGCAAGGAAGGATCACTCTTACTAAAGAAATTAGTTATCCTTCCCCCAAGGACCCTCTTTCAGCAATTACTCTGCATTACCACTAAGCGTATCTGATCGTTTTACTTGAAAAATAATTGTTTATCTGTCCTTGGAGCAGTCTAACCCTATATAAGCTCCACAATCTGTACAGTAAACATCAGAGCTTCTTATATGAAGTAAGAGGAAAAGCAACAGGAAATGCATAAAACAAAATCCGATAGTAACTACAAGAAGCACTGCAAACATACAACCTCATACATTCCTCAGTTTCTTTCTTCTAGGAGAGTTTCATTTTTCTTTCAACAGAGGAACTTAAAAGCGTGAAGTATTTCCTAGACAGTTACCCCTCTTGAAGTCCTTAGTTTTGCAGGTGCTATTGGAAGTAGCCACAACAAAGTTTCTAAAGACATTTTTCTTAAACCCAACATTGGGTCACAGACAAACCACAGAAGGTAAGTATCTCTTCCACTAGAAGGCTTCACTATCTGCATTGGTTTCTGCATGCAGAGATTATAACTACATCACTTTCATTCGCCAGCCTGATCCCTACCATCTGAAGACAAAACGGATTCCAGAGACACCTACATATTAATCCTTGCCCACCCGAAGGACATTGCTAACACACTTATGCTGAACACATTACTTGCTTATCTGGGTGGCTCTTACCACTTCAGAATCTAACTAAGCCCCAGGCTCCAAGCTTTATTTAAATATATCCATGGGAAGCTGTGGTCAGCCAATTTGTTTCATTTCTGATTTGTCAGCCTACCTTAGATGAAAACCGAATTTCATTAGAACTCAGAAAAAACATCAGAAAGTAATTTATTAGTGACAGTAATTTATGTTCACTATGCAAGGCATATAAAAAAGGAGTTTTCCAAAACACATTTTCCATTCAAAGTAATTAAATAGTAACATTTGCAACTGGCTGAAACCAATTCTAGCTGTCACAGCCTTCAAGACTGTGTGCCTCAAGCCTCGATTTTATTCATGACTGGGAGAAAACAAGATTTTCTGCTTCTTCAAGTCTGTTTGCCACCTTTGAACAAATTATTGTAATGAAAACATACTGTGGTTTTGTACAGGTGCAAAGACATCCCCAAAGTCTGCTGGCTTGCTGAAGACACTTCAAATTGAACTGCTATTTTCTTCAGTAATTTTTGCCTCCTTTTAATTCAATTTAAGATCATAACAAATCTAGCTTTTTTAAGATATGAGCTTCCAATTACCATTTACTTCATGAAATAAAACTGTTTTCTCTGATACAGTTAAAGGTAACTGCTCTAAGTGAAACAGCAGATACTAACTGGAAACAGACTGCAGGTTACTTTGGAATTCAGCATATAGACAGAACTGAAAGCAAGACCTCAGATGACAACATCATGTAGAAAAGTAAGAAGCCAGTGTTATCTTTCCAAAAGCTACTTTGTACTACCTCTTGACAGAAGGTTTACCTATAAAAGGCAAAGGTCACAAATTAGAAGCAATCACAATATATTTACGTTATTCACCCTAATCCTCAACCACCTCCGAGTACTTCTTCAAAAGACTCACTGCAAAAAGAAGTTTATGTTACAGACATAATATTTCCCTGTATTTCTTTATTCTCTGAAAATAAAAACTGACTTCAAGCTTCACTATGGCTATGCATAGCACCAAGATATCCAAAAGAGTTGACAGTCTCAAAGCAGCAGTGACTTCTCTTAACTGCTGAAGAGCAGGAGCAACAGTCTCTAAACTTAGCAGGTCTTCAGTTGGTAAAGAAAATGGATTACAAGGCCACTCAGAGTAAATACAACATTCTTATGAAATACAGGTACCAGTCATGAAGCTTGTAGGAAGAAAGCAGAACAAGTGTTTACGCTGTATTTAATGAAACATTTCTGCAACAGGTCAAAAAGCCAATTCGAGGCTCAGAGGAAAGTAATCTTTAAAAGCATGAGCTAAACAAATGTTATCACTAACATTAAAAAAAACAACAGTTAATGCTGTGCAAAGGCATATTGCTGCACAACGACACTAAGCAGCAAACTGATCTTCATTGCCCATTTCCAGGTCTCTTATCATTGCCTTGACCAAGAAGACTTATTCATACCAGTTTTGCAGTCTATACAGACCAGGGTTTTTAACCTAGTTCTATAAACTGGAACAAATACTGTGTATTTACAACCTTAAGCAGTATCCCTCATTCTCGCAGTACAAATCACTGGATGACTGACTATTCTTCCTTTTGTGAAAGCTAACTTTATTTCCAAAAACATCTG